GAGCCGATTCTGCGGTGTGTAACATGTGAGTCAGTTAAACATGATGGGTATCTATCTATCTAGTTGTTAAAGAAATAAAAAGCTGCATCAGTTAGGGTTAAAAGAATTATTGCAAAGCATATAACATACCAGAAACATATTAATTACTGCAGTACTGTTCCAAGTCTAGACTCATCATCATTATTTGCTTATTTTAATCCAAATGTCGACTTTTTTTGGCCAGATATATATATATATATATATATATATCTGGCCAAAAAAAGTAGTTCTGAGATAGTTAGATAGATAAAAATTTTGAATTCACAACACAATTTAGCACACAAATACATTTGTGTGCTAAATTGTGTTGTGAATTCAAAATTTTCACTCAGGGGTAAGAGTGATAAGATGTTGCCTATATGCAGTGCTGCAATGGCAGATTTTGCCTATACGAAATGGTCTCTGTCTTCAAGATCTTGTTGTTTGAGATGATATGATTGTGTGTTTCAGGTTATTTTTCAAGCGTGTGAATTTGCTGCTGGGAGGGTGTGTACGTCTGATGTTGAGCGGAGGGGCTCCACTGTCTGCTTCCACACAGAGATTTATGAACGTGTGTTTCTGCCCTGTCGCTGTGGGTTATGGCCTTACAGAGACGTGTGGAGCGGGAACTATCTCAGAATGTTAGTGCGCACACATTTTTTCCTGCATGTTAAAATGACTGGATTCCTGTGCCGACATGTTCAAACTTGTGTTTGTGTGTGTTTGCAGTTTCTGATTACAGTACAGGACGAGTTGGAGCTCCTCTCATTTGCTCTGAAATAAAACTGCGAGACTGGCCTGAGGGTAAGACACACACTCACACACACACACACACACACATGTGCAAACAACAACGGCAATTGAGGGTTCTCAGGTTCACTTTACATTCCTAACTTTCAACCGACCTCTCTCTTTCATCATCAGGTGGATACACCAGTCAGGACAAGCCACACCCACGAGGAGAGATTCTGATTGGTGGACCGAATGTTGCCATGGGATACTTTGGGAGTGAGGGGGAGGGAGAAAATGACAACTTCTGGGTGGATGAGGCAGGGCAGCGCTGGTTTTGTACTGGAGATGTCGGGCAAGTTCATCCAGACGGTTGTTTGCAGATTGTGGGTGAGTAAGTTCTGAATCATCTAACAAAGAAGAGTTACGTCAGAGAGACGTCTGCTGTTCTGTCAAACATAACATGCCAATCCTCCACTTCCTGTTCTCAGATCGTAAGAAGGACCTAGTAAAGCTGCAGGCAGGTGAATATGTGTCTTTGGGGAAGGTAGAATCTGCCCTGAAAAACAGCCCCCTCATTGATAACATCTGCGTCTATGCCAGCAGGTACACCACAACTTTATATCCCACAATATTCTGTATCTAGAGATTAACCTGGATAAAGTGTCAATTTACATGTGACCGGAGTTTTAGCACTGAAAATCGCCATGTCCCAGTTTTGTTGGTCATAGGTGTTCATACTGATTGATTTTATAACATTATGTGTGGGCTGCACAACTGTCCATATACACAGCTATTAATCTTCTCAATATTTTGATTTTTTTGCTCCCTCAGATTCCAGATTTTCAATCTGTATAGTTGTATCTCGGCCAAATATTGTCCTATCCTAACAAACCATACATCAATGGAAAGCTTATTTATTCAGCTTTCAGATGATGTAGAAATCTCAATTTCACAAAATTGACCCTTATGACTGGTTTTGTGGTCCAGGGTCACATATGCAAGGAAAGATATTTGTAATGTTACAAAAGATTGTAACTTTTCAACTTTCTATTCATCAAAGAGCCATGAAAAATTGATTACAGTTTCCACAAAAAAATATTAAACAGCACAACTGCTTTCAGCGTTGGTAATAATAGGAATCGTTATACCAAATCATTAGAATGATTTCTGAAGGATCATGTGACACTGAAGGCGGGATTAATGGCTGCTGAAAGTTCAGCATTTCCATCACAGGAATAAATTACAATTTAAAACATATTAAAATAGAAAACAATTAGTTTAAATTGTAATTTTACAATATTACTGTTTTTGCAGTGTTTTTGATCATATAAATGCAACCTTAGTGAACATAAGACACTTTTTTTCAAAAATCTTACCAACACAATCTTTTTTGTTTTAAACGTTATTTATGAGTTTTAGGACAATATTACAAAGAGGAAAACAAAACAGAACAAAAGACAAGATCAACTTAATACAATCAATCAAATAAATAAATTGTGGGTTAGCAAAACAATGAAAGTGCACATTCAGTATGATACAATAAAATTTAAGTGAAAAAAACCCCCACAAAGTGCTAGAACTAAGATTCACTCTAGCAACCCGATTTTTTTGAACAGAAGTGTATTGATATAAACTTTTACAATTGCTTATCCATGGCTTTAAAGCGAACAGATAGAGCCACAAAACTCGTTCTTAATCTTGTGTGTTTTTAGCAAACCACTAGGCTACATTAATATGTGTATTGATACAACCTAAACTTGTCATGCAGGCTCCAAGACACCATAATGCAGAATAAACGCATGCCGTCAGTTCAACACTAATATGTCCTTGTACTATTTCCGATCAGTGATCAGAACTACTTGATCAGCTTTGTGGTGCCCAATCAGAAGCAAATGACTGAGCTGGCAAAAAAGAACGGGATAGAGGGCGAGTGGGAGGAGCTTTGTAACCACACCAAGATGGAGGAGGAAGTAGTAAAAGTCATCAAAGAAATTGCAGTCACAAGTAAGCACATTTTTTAATGTTATACTAACTTCTCAATAATGTTTGGTTAATTAAGTATATGCTGCAGAAAGTGGAAGTGTGTAATGCTTTCAGTGGGTTTTTTCCGCACTTTTTTGGGGGGACTGTCTGTTTGGTGACCGAGTTTACCTTTAAACAATGTCTATTGTAACTACAGAGATTTGTGTGTTTGATACTGTGAGAAAATAGCAAAGGCATTTATTTTTTGTGTGTGTGTCTATGTGTATAAACTGTATTTCAATTAATTGTGTGTGTGTGTGTGGTACTGTAGGTAAACTGGAAAGGTTTGAGGTTCCACAGAAGATCTGTTTAAGTTCTGAGGCTTGGACTCCAGAAACAGGGCTGGTGACGGATGCCTTCAAACTAAAGAGAAAAGAGCTGAAAAATCATTATATAAAGGACATTGAGAGGTTATATGGGGCTAAATGATGGACATGCAACACTCATCTAGGCTGATTCCCAGTTGGTGTGCTATGCTTTGTAGATTACTATCCCCCTAATCATAGTATTGCATCAAAATGCAGTTTTACTATGATCCTGTCTTACTCCATACACTAGACATGAATAAAAGTCTTCCAATTGGGATTCATTAAATGTGAGCCAAAATCATCACAATTAAAAGAACCAAAGACTTAAACTACTTCAGTCTGTGTGCATTGAATTTATTTAATACACGAGTTTCACAATTTGAGTTGAATTACTGAAATAAATGAACTTTTCCACGACATTCTAATATTGAGATGCACCTGTATATAAAGTCACTGCCAATCCTGCTGTTCTCAGTAGAAACACCATTCTTCCCCCTGCTGGATGTAAATGGTCATTACTTCCTCTGTGAGTAAGTACTGTGAGGAATAGATTTATTTAATAGCAGTAAAAGATGTATGCATGTATGCAAAAGGTGCCTTGAAGCATATCTATGTCAAATATTTTTTAAATGTTCAAAATTTGCCACTTTTACTTGAAAGTGTTTTTGGGATGCAATTGGTAAATGTCAAATTTTTAGTTGCTTGGCGTTTTTGTTTGTTTGCTTAAATTGTTTGTTAGAGTCCATTAAAGAAAAGCTTATGCAGTTTTGTTTAGTGTGAGTCACCCAGCTGATTTCTGATGGCAAGAGTGGTAACGGTCACTTACGATCAGCAGAAATAAAGCTGGGAACGGTGTAAACTACAGAATATAATGTGGGATGAGTTTAAGTTTACATATGTATGGGAAATGATTTTTATGTATACCATTGACATGAAAGGGAAGAATTTTTTATGATGTTTGTACATTTGTATCTTTGGTTGCTCAGGAGCGCATACACAGATGAATGGGTTAAAGGCAATACATAATGTGTAAAGTGCATTGGAGATGAAACTGGGAAGTTATATTTTTCCTGTTATGCAATATATTATACTGCATAGTTTTATTTTTAAAAACTATATCACCATTCCTCAGCATAAACTGTTTTCATCATACATTTCAACATACATTTATTATTTGCATAAACAAACGAAACCTCCTGTAATTGTTTTTCTGTTTTTTTTATGTCTGTGCTTCGATTTAGTTGTTTTGAGACATTTCAAATGTTTTATACGTTTTGTACCTGTATTTAAGCTCTATACCTGTGAACTGTTACATTTTTTTCTGACTGAGCTTTATTCTGATATCACTCATTTTCTATATAAACAAATCCTTTTTCCTTCTCTGTCCACCATCATTTCAGAGTTTTGACACTTCTTGCATTCTCTTGCTTGTTAGCACATTTCAGGTGTATTAAAACAAAACGTCCACTTAGTTACAATTATAATTAATCACTCTCATTTTTTTTTTTTTAAAAGCTACATTTTCCAAATTAGGCACACAGAGTCAGCTATTTCTCTCCTTATTTATCTGTCAAACCTTGTTTTCTGTACTTTGTTATTGCTGAATTCTTCCATCCGAGACCCGGACGTTTAACCCTTTTCTATTAGAGCTGTTCATTTGTCAAATGTTCATTGTTCATTTCTTCTTGAACTCTTCCATTTCATTTGAAATGGCTGACAGAAAAAAAAACTTTTTATGTCCTCAAATCTGGCTGATATGAATTCATCCTCTTTTATTTGTTTGTAAATAAATTGTGATTTAGAACTAATGTATTTTCAATTCAATATACAACCATTGTAAAAAAAACAATTGCGCAGAAATTAGCAGTGCTAGTCCCATGATGTGCATGCATGCGTGTGTGTGTGTGTGTGTGTGGATGCGTAATAAGTGTGTTTTGGGTTTCTCGAGGCTGTATTTTTTACTCCTGTCCGCCCACAGCAGCAAACTGCTTCTTCTAGCTCTGAGAAACAAACAGAACTGAGCCACAGAGCCAGTTCTACTTTGAACATGTTTTAATGTCTTAACCACGGAGCTCCGGTCCGGTTCGGTACCGTGCGGCGGCAGCAGCAGTTCTGGGCGGGTTTGATGCTGCTGGACTCACGCTGAGGGAGGTGAGCTGGTGAGGAAGGAAATGGCGGCCGATCTTCATAAATATCCGTGATTTTAGAAAAAATAAAATAAATAAAAGACATTTTTCCCGTGACTTTGTTCGGGAGATTCGTTTCTCAGAGTCGTTCATATGTCAAGACAGTTTGGGCAAATAGTTTGAATAGTGAGAATTAATGAAACACTATAATGTGCGTCGTATGAAGAAATGTAAAGTTTTAATGGGGTTTTGCAGTGAGTTTTACATTGTTTTGGTGGGTTTGGGGCGGTTTTAATGACTTAGAGGAGCTGGAGGCCCGTTAGCATGTTAGCATGCTAGCCCGTGTTTACGAAAATCAAACTCAACATTAAAAACACAATTTAAAAACTTTCACACGTTACACGAATACATAGAGATTTTGTGTGATTAGTGGAGTTTATCCATTTTTTTTATGGTTCGATTTTGCGTACAGTAATGTTTTTGACAGCAGGTGTTTGATATATATTATTAAAGTCATACAAATATACGTTACACACGTCCTTCACACAGACAGGCGCGCGTGAATAACCTCATTCAGTAACTGCTCGTTGTTTTTATATGCTGCAGCGTGTGTTTTTCAGCTGTGTGGGTCTGTCTGTCTACTGCAGTGTGGGGACACTTATAAACTCCCGAAGAAACAGAAGATGTTGACAAAATGATAGCAGCTCAGGACATTCAAACAGACTTCCATCAGTAAGTATCAGACACAAACTAACTTACTCTTCCTCCAGCCAGACACTGTCTGTGTCTCCAAACCTAACTGTTCAGCATTTATGGGCATCATGGGCACATTTAACAAGAAGTCCAGCATCTGCTACAACTTGCTTACTGTGTGCTGTGTGCTTGCCTGTTTGTAGGAAAACAGCTCATTAAACTATATCTTGGAGTTTCAGCCCTGTATGCACACAAAACACATCTGACCTCTTGTTAGAGCTCTGTAAAAACCAACTATAAATGAGAGCACCTGTAAAATACATACACCTGAAATACTCCACATACACACTGCTCTAATCACTGGTGCATTTTGTTTGTTTAGGGAAGGATACTCTCGTCTCTCGGACGCTGATCTTGAAGATCTCGAGGGTCGGAATGGCAAATCTGGGAAAGGAAAGGTACCTATCAGACAGTGACCTTGCAGAAAGGCATTCGGCTCTTTTATCACACAATCAGCTTTCAAAAACACTGTTAAACAGATATGAGTAAAGCTGCGCGATTAATCACATAAAAGCGAAACTGCTATATGGTTTAGTGCGATTTGATTTAAATAAATAAATGTGTTGTGTTTCAGAGTGAAGCGCAGCATTGTTTTTTTTTTTTTTTTACAAATCTGCAGCTCATGAGTGGTTTGCAGAAAATACTGCTCTACACAAAATCATCTCTGCATGAGCTTTCAGTTTGGGTAGCTTATAATGCGCGTTTGGGAATGCAATATGCACCAACTGTCTTTAAACCAGCTGTTGTTAACAAAAAAGAAGATTTGAGGGCTCCCTGAGGTTTTCAGCTGAAATAAAACCTTAATGGTTTAACATTTGAGAAAGAAGAAATTAAAACAGTTGTACTGTAAAATAGTAATATTTTTCTTTTCTTGTTATTGTTCTTAAATTCATTTTACTGTGAAATATTGCAATAATAATAATATTCCTTATTTTGTCTTTATTATATTATTATTATTATTATTATTATATTGATATATAATCACAAAATGGCAAACCTGGAGCTTTTTTTAAAATCACATTGTAAATTGCAATGGGAATTTTTAAATCACAGTTCGAGCCATGCAGCCTTAGAAGCTTGTTTAATTAAAATTTTCTTGCTTTTTGCCGTTTGTGTCTAGAAGGGGAAAAAGACCCTTGGAGACAAGTTGAAGGGGTCAGAGGTGAGAGGTCGGGTAAATGGCCACCATCAGGAGAACGACATGGAGAATCTCAGTTTGTTTGAGATTGTCAAATTGGGCAAGAGTGCCACACAGGTACCAGCATACACACGAACAACTTCAGATACACGCTGATCTGTCAGACTGTATTCATTCACAGACATACACACTCTCTGTCTCAAAGTGCTCGGATGTATCATCAGAGTAAATCAGCAGTTTGTGTGGTTAGGTATTATATCCAGGTCTAACTGCAGTGTATGCTTTCTGTGTAGAAAGAAAGTTTAACTGAGCGAGTGTGTGTGTGTGTGTGTGTGTGTTTGCTTTGTGTCTCTCTCTGTAGTCAGTGGTTGATGACTGGATTGAGTCCTATAAGACGGACAGAGACTCTGCCCTGCTGGAACTCATCAACTTTTTTATCCACTGCTCTGGCTGTAAAGGTGTGTGTGTGTTCTCTAGGTGTAAATAAGTTTACATAATTCAAGTGTATATTTTGTCTTATTGAATGTGTATGCTTGTTATAGGTGCGGTGAGCTCCGAGATGTTTCGGCACATGCAGAATTCTGAGATCATCAGGAAAATGACGGAAGAGTTTGATGAGGTTTGTTAATCTGTTTATACCACAGACGTTTCCATGGGTAGAATCTATGATGGGATGGAGGAGATTAGATACTGTAAATCTATATGGAAAAATTGTGTGTGTTCAGGACAGTGGCGATTATCCGCTGGCAATGGCAGGTCCGGTGTGGAAGAAGTTTAAATTAAGCTTGTGTGAGTTCATCGCGGTCCTGGTCCGACAGTGCCAGTACAGCATAATCTATGATGAGTACATGATGGACATGGTCATCTCTCTCCTCACCGGCCTGTCAGACTCACAGGTCAGAGCGTTCAGACACACCAGTACCCTGGCAGGTGGGTGACTTTGGGCTAGGTACTGTGCAGTGTTCAGAATAACATACTACAACATAGGGGTGGGCGATATGACCAAAATCTTATATCACGATATGAGTAATTTTATTTCACGGTAACAATATATATCATGATTAGGGTTGCAAAAATCCGGGAATTTTCAAGACTGGAAACTTTCCATGGGAATTAAAGGGAATATATGGGAATTAATGGGAATAAACTGGAAATTTGCAAAATTGCAGGAACTGGAAACTTAAATGCAGTTGAGAAAAAATCATGCAGCATAATCTTGGTTAAAACAACCAGATTTAATGCAATTTCAGTTTAATTTCTACCCTAAACAAACACTGCTCAATCACATGCACACAGCGCACTGCTTACTGCAGGGCTATTGAGGCCACACCCCCTACATGCACTGTGCTTTCCTACATAACATGAACAGACAATCCCTTTAGTCACCTACGAGGGTCCCTCCCCTCCATTTTCTCTGAAGCCACACTTGCTGCATTTGAGCCCAAAGACTACATCTAAGTGTTGATATTCTAAATATATTTGACCTATGGGATTCAAGTTTAACTAGTAAATGCCAAAAAGTGTTTATACAGTAGCTAGCTAGCCAATAAATCAAGATATGAAAAATCTAAGCGAGTTAGCACTATTCCATTGACAATTTATGAGGTATGTGCTAGCTAGCTCAAGCTGTGATGCTCTTTCTGCTAGCCAGTTTTCTGTTATCATACAGTACTGGTTAAAAGTTTGGACGCATTACTATTTTTAAAGGGGTCATATGATGCTATTTTAAAGATCATTATTTTGTGTGTTTGGTGTAACAGAATATGTTGACATGCTTTAATGTTCAAAAAACACATTTTTTTTCAAATACTGTACATTATTGTAGGTCCTCTATGCCCCGCCTCTCTCAAACGCGTCGTTTTCAACAAAGCCCCCTCCTTTGACAAGCACAGTCTGCTCTGATTGGCCAGCTGAACCAGTGCATTGTGATTGGGCGAACACCACAAGCACGCGTCGGAAATGTAACGCCCCTTACCATAATCGC